CTACGGTATTGACAATTTCAGCCCAAAATTCATATTATAAGCTAGTTTTATAAACATATTGTGCAACTTTTCAATGCTGTTTGATTAATATACTCATGAACACCGTTTTGCTGCAAATATAATGAGATGAAAAATAATATAGTTTTGCAGTAATTTCATAATTAAAAAAACATATATATTTTTACCATTATGCATACAAAGATTTCTCATTTTGTTTCTAGCTTGAGTTTCAATTTGGATATTCAAAATTTGAAAATTTTTCAATACCTCATATTTTTTGTGTAAATATATATTTACTCAAATTTTAGGTAATCATTATATAATTTATGTTATAACTTTTCAGAGAATAAATTTTTGGAAAATTCTTACACGTCTATATGTATATATTCAAGTTTCATCACCAAAGTTTTTTTTATGATGGTTGTACATAATACAATATTCACAATACTTCAAGTCAACAAACAGAGATAATTAGCTTTGTCAAATAATAAGCTCATGTCGTTAAGTAGTTTCAAATATCTGTTTATCATGTGTATCAACTTAAAATGTTGTATATTAGCTATTTCAACAAAAGATTTAGTAAAAAATTAACACATCTGATAATGTACTCTAGCATGTTTAGATTGTTGTGTTTTTGTACTCTTAAGATATTTTTACATCCTATTTCCATCTCCAACATTAACTTTCAAATGTTCCATTCAAAAAATTTTGAAATTAATATTCTAAGACAAAATAATTTAAATCCCAAGTCAAATATATATCTGATTTGAATCTAGATACGGTGAACTTCATTAAACATTTGATTTTCAAACCGATTCATTAATTTCAAATGGAAAAATTTGATGATAATACATAAAAATTAAATTTTTGATATAAAAAATATAAACAAAAATGTAATAGAAACAAAGACTATCTTGAAACCATATTTCATCAACATTTATTGATGAGTTGCATATAACATATCTCTAGCATCAAGCATTGTGAAGAAATTTTTTTTGTCAAAATAAAACTCTTGAATTACATTGGCAAAAGAGGTATAATCAATTTTGATCTTCATACAACAAATTTTTTTATATGAACACTTTTGCCACATTTTTTTATAAAATCATCATTCTCTAAAATATTTAATACTAGGCTTTGATTTCATTGATTTGTCATTCTTACATATGATTGACCTTAAGTCATATACAGTGCTATAGCAAATTTAAAAATTATGATAAAGTGGTTTTATTATTATTTGTTATATGTCATGAGTCAACAAAGGACTCTTGATTTTTTTAATAATTATTAATCTATCATAATGAAATAATATATTTGATAATGATTAATAAGATGCAAATAATGAACTTCAAAGATCTTACTATCATTGCACATCTACTCTTAAAAAAATTAAATATCAATAATAAAAACACCAAAAACAACAATGTGATCTCAATTTTTTATGAATATCATCACAAAAATGATTACAAAATTAGTTACTCCATATGGAGATACAATTGCATGGAAGTAGATTGTCAATAATCGAGTTGTCAATAATTTGTGTGTTTGGTAAATAGAAAATAAATGTATTTGTTATCAACAATCATTGTACTTGTTAGGATTATCCATCATGTCATCAATCCATTAAAAGTAAAATGTATGATGGAGATAAATTCTTATGGTATTGTAATCATTGATATGATCTATATAAGAATACAAATCATTCTAGTTATCGCTTAGTTTCAAATTGTGTTTCATCTTTGAGTAAACTACTAATTCAATCTCTATTGCTTCAATTTTATGCTAAAATATTTCATCTTGAAGTTCATAAATTTGAATAAGACATACAATCTGTTAAACAACTTTTTGTGATAAAATAGTTGCTTATGAGATTCAAACATCAAATATTTGTATCATAGTCATTCACTTGCTTCAAACCAAAGGTTGCAAACATAGTTAACAATAATCATAGTTTGCTTTTTAACATATTTTGAGTCTTTGTTGTAGATGGATACTTTTTTCCTCAACATTTGCATAAGAAGCGTAGCTTTTTAGCTTGCAATTTACTTGTCTAATCAAGATGATATAATCATCACGTCCAATTTATTTGACTATGTCATATCCAATATGGATTTAATTATTTTTATTGTTTGTATAAACAATTTTTCTGTTTAACTCATATGAAAAATGTCAAAAAGTTGCTACTCATCTAGTCTTGCAATTATTGACTTATCAACTTAGTCCAACATTTGAATGTGCCAAATCTCTCTCTATTGGCTTACTAATGAGTTCACTTTGGCATTTGAACCTAGTCTATATTGATGAATCAATCCGTATCAATTTTGTCAATTCTACATTTACAGATTTCCATCTATGCAAATTTGGCTCTAATTTTCACTAGCTAAACGTGTAAGTTTCAAATTCTTTTGAAAAGAGTACTTGAATCATAGCTTGTTGCTTGTATGACTGACTTTTAAATATAATTTTAGACTATGTTCATCGAAGATCATTCTTTAAAACTAACTAACATTCAACAATCAAAAAGTGTATCATTTCCAAAGACCGCATTAGCATTCATAGTATTTGTTTGGTTACAAACCACTTCATCAAACGAGTGATCAAACACTCGTTGTTGTGTTGCTAGAGTGAACAAACACTCCAACAATCTTGAAGATGAATAATATGCACTTGCAAATTAGAATCAATATAATCTTAGATATTGAACAAAAGCTTCTCAAAGAGAAGTATTAAGATATTAAATTTTGCAAACTATAAAAAATAAAACCTACACGTTTTATTCATCTTTGTCCTCACTAGAATGAGATTACAAGCTAATATTGTGAAAAGAAACTCATATCACTTTCTTGACTCAATTACAAGAAATATCTTTGACTTGCCAAAGTACAACTCAAAGAAAAACTTTGCATTCACAAACTTATTGCGTAATGACATCTTTATTAGCAAAAACTCATCAATATACGACTTAACGAACATCATCTTGCACACAATATCACCAGTAGTAGAAATCTGATGATTTACAAGTTCACAAAGCTCATATTTTAATACCAATTCTTGCAAATGTTCATACCATCACAAGCACAAACGCAAAATGTAGACACATCAAAATGCCAACACGAGTGTACACAAGAAGATTGACACAAAGTAATTGGTTTGACATTGCAAACTAAATCATGAATAATAATAAATATATAAATAACTAGTAAACGTTGATAAAAATTCATGAATCGCCAAAAATCAAAATTTTTCTCATAAAAACTCTAAAATGTTCCTCAAGAACGTTTAAACTTTTGATTAACACTTTCATCAACGTAATACAAAATGGCATGTTGGTGAACTTTGCAATGACAACATTTATAAGAACTAATAAAAAGTTAAAAAGTTAAAAAAATTTAATACTATTACCACTCAACTTTATAAAGATAGAAAAATCTTAATTCAAATTGATTAATCTATCTCAATCAAAATAAATCTATGTTGATACAAACAAAATGGTTGATAAATATTTTGTACTTATTTAGATAAATCTACTTTTGTCTTTCTAGATAAAAAAATTTATGGATAAACCTTGAGTGATCATAACTGTTATTCAGAAGATAACACTCAGACATCATATGAAAATGATTTATATGTTAAAAATGTAAATTTTGATAAATAAAAAGTAATTTTTATAAAAACAAATGATAACAAGAATGCAAGTGATGAATGAAAAGATGAAAACATTAATAAATGAACATCAACGAATTATTAAACTCAATCAAAAAGTTTTATGAATCTTAATAAATTCTAACAAAAGTTTGTGTTTATTTAGCTCAAGTCTCAACATGAAAACTATCTAGCATACTGATAATGTACAATATAGATTTTACAAACAAGTACAATGACATAAGATTTCATCTCCATAATAGATTTCACTCTCAGTTAATTGATGATATGGCAAATAATGTTAACTAGCACACAGATTGTTGACATGTCACTCTCAACTAACACACTCAATTTTTACCTAATAAACACATGGATTGTTGATGTGTCGTTTTCAAGTAACACACTTATTCTTTAGAGATGAATCACATGGATTGCTGTTGAAAAAACTATAGATAACCCATTACAATGAAACTACATTTCCATCTTGTGCAATCTCTAGTTTTGTATTGACTACCTGAAGTTGATTCCAATGAAATCTTATCTTCATAAATATGTTAGAATTATTTTTATAATGTAAAATATAAACATTTTGATAGTTGTTGTTTTGAAAGTTTGTACATTTATTTGAGAAAAATTTTTCTTTTCAATTTCTTTTGTTATGCAGCGTTGTCAAATTTTGATTTTACCACAAATAATTTATATTTTTTAATACTAAAAAAATATAATATTTTAAATATAATATTTTTTTTCAATTTATTAAACTATAAACATTCACATTTGTAATTAGAATAAAAATTCATGTAACAAATCTCATAATAAAAAAAAAAATTTAAAGAAATGGAAATTATTTACATACATATAAATTGATGACTAATCATTCATATATCATATTAGATTCTGATTTTTTCTAGAATTTTTGCAATGTGTTAGCTAATATCATATATGTTATGTTGAGCTTAACTCTCTTAGCTAGCAATCCCCTGATTTGGGGTATTTAACCCCGTAGCTTCTAAACTGTAAAGCATTTCGCTGAATAATCAATCGCGTGTGGGGGAGTTAACCTTTGTGTTATCTTGTTTGTTTTTTTATGTCACTATATTTTACTTATTCTCGGTTATATGGTTACATGTTGAGCATACATCTTAATACTTTTTAAATTTTAAATTTCATATGGCATACCAACTGTCATGTATTTCATACAAAAAAGTGCAGATTGTCAAGATGAACTATACAACTGAGGGTATTAAAAAAAATGAGTAAAACAATACCAGCACAATGCCGACATGAACCTTTCAGCTGAGTTATATATTCCGATGGCCCCAACTGCAGATATGAGACAGGACCTAAGCTGGGCGATAGATAGACCGGACTGCTATGCACAGCAACGGAGGGAACTCGTCAAATCATTTGGGTTTCAACAGACTGGTGGCTCACATGTTTTGCAACCCTCCTCGTATGGGAATCTAAGGTGTGATCAAATCCACGGGATGGCTCGAAAAAATGATTCTGTAGCTGGGCAGACGCCCACTGCATGCTCAGCCTGGAGGCGAAAAGACGGCAAAATAATGCAAAAAAAAAAAGAAAAGGAACGACGTAAAAGCAACCAAGTGGAGCAAAATGCAGACGAGGGCAATGTGGACCTCTAATCAGAAGTGTACGGTAATTGGTTTGGGTCAGTGGTGATCAGATGATGAGCTCCAATGACGCCGAAGTGCTGACTAGATGGGAATTTCGGCAGGTAGAAGCCAATAAGAGGCTGTGTTGCTTTGGCGACTAGCCTTTGTTGCAATGGGTGAATGTCCATCGACTCTGGTGGTCAGTACTTTTCGTTAAAGAAAGAATCTTCTAGCTTGGCGAGCTAAAACTTCCACAAGATCTGTTTTAACCGGAACACGAAAGCTCAATCTGTGCAGTGTTGGAAATGTCTGTCTGCATGGGTGGTTCAAACTCCTTCTACGGGAGGGTACGACAATCAGGGAGACGCTTGCAGCTCGCATGAAATATGAGCTTTGGGTACAAATGATGAGGATCCGTTGTTTTGTCAGCTCCTGGACCGGCTCTAACGAACATGAATGCATCCATCGACCCGCCCAGTTCCCCACTCTACAGCAGAACAGCGGAGCATGTGAACCTGTCCGGGCGAGCTCGGAGATTCTACCAAGGCACACTGTGCAGACTTCTCTGGCTCTGTGCTCATTGGCTGCCATCTCCTCGGACTCGAACACTGTGAATTTAAAAGCAAGGCCGCTGCAACTGCAAATAGCGGTGTAGAATTGGCCCCCGGTGCCATTAATCCACCGACTCTACTTATTATGCCTAAGGCCTCAGTTCTACCTTCTCAATTTCTCGGCAGGAAGTAGAAGAACTTGGGAAGATAGTGAATCTCACTTCCCTCCCTTAGTCCAACGAAGGACGGACCTTGAATTGACCCCAGTCATTTCCAACATGCGTCCTTCGTACATCTCCTCGCCTTCTCTCTCTCTCTCTATCTCTGTCTCTATGTGCGTGGGTCTCCCCCATTTCCTGAAAAAAAGGTCAGGAGAGAACATTTTCGGAGGAATTTTGTGATCGAAGCATGTCCGAGTACAACCGTGGGGACGAACGTACGGAACGTGCCGAGATTTCGCTGCTCTGCTATCTGACTTTCGCCACTTCGAACAAGCCAAACTAGCTTTTCTACAGGCGGCTTGAGTAGCCGTGAGAGAGCTCTGTGTCAAGGCTCCAGACTTGGTCTATCCAACATCGAACTCGTCTCCCGCCCGCTCGCTGACCACGCGACGGGACCGTGCTGTCCTGTCCCGTAAGCCTTGGCACCAATATTGACCAAATTGTCTCAAAAAGCAGAAGGAAAGAAGGCCCGGGGCAAGGCTCAGTTCGTTGGTGGGAATCCCCATGCCGCCAATTTCCCGAGGTCTAGAGAGGAACAAGAAGATTTGTCGAGAGCGACAGGTTTACTGCTGTCGTCTAGTCTCATAAATTTTCCGATCACAACTCCGACCCTCGAAGTGAACACCAGTTCGAGAGGAGCTCTATACGGACAGAACCGACTCGGGAAGATAAGGAGGAGCCGGGGAGAGGGCGAGAGAGGGACGGGCATTAGTCTGTTAATGATTAAGCTCAGCAGTTCGCGGGAGGAGTCAATGGGGAGTCCGAGTCAATGGGAAAGTGCTATATAAAATAAGCTTCACTCCACAACGGCAAGGCCCAAGCCGTTCACGACGGGTGAGGAAGGAGGGGCCACTGTGCGCGGTAGTTTTCCCTTCCTTCCTTTCCTCCCTGCCTGCCTCAATCAATCGTTCGTGGGCGTCGAGCCCTTGGAGCTCGGGAGACGGATCCGATGCAGATTCGCTCAGACCTCGGCGAGCGAGAGGAAAAGAAAGAAACAGACAGACGGACACAGAGCGAGAGCAGAGATGCGAAGGGGGCCTATCGGACGTTGGACGGGGACCGGGGCGGGGAGGGCCGGGGGGAAGTTGCGAGCGCGGGGAGGGGAGGGGAGGGGAGGGGAGAGGGCTGTGCGCGCGTGGGGGCTTTGCTTTGCTTGCAGGGAGAGGATTCGGGAGAGGGGAGCGCGCGAGGGGGAGACTCGAGCCAGAGCAGAAGGAGCAGCAGCCCCAGCATGGAGCCACGGGCGACTCGAGGTGGGTCCCGCGGAGGAGGAAGCCCCACAGGCCCGTGTCCATACACATCTACTGTCGCGTTGTTGCCCGGTTCAGCAGCTGTCGTGGCTGCTCCACAAGGCGACAACCGAATTCCCGTCACCAATTAGCATTTCCGTCGTTTGAATCTAAGCTAATCGATCCCTCTCGGTTCCCCTCCCCAGCGTATTGCGTTACGTAGTCCGGACTCGCACTAGCAGAACCTGATTCTGAGACCACCACCACCATCGTCCGGTCCGCCTGGTGCTCCATCTCCACCTCCACCGATCCACACGCGCATGTCAGATCGGTCTGCTTTGGGCCCCTACTTTGGGCCTCTGCTGGGCTCGGCCCGATGCTTTCACCCATGACTCCGGTAAGTGCTAGAGAGTGCAATGCCGTCGCTCGGCTCCATGGGGGCTGGCGACGGAGCAGTGCGCGGGTCGCTCGCGAACTATTTCGCACAGCTCGCAGGGGGGTCACTTTTTTCGGGCCCTTCCATCGCGGAGCATCATGATGATGAGAGTCCAGCAGCACTGCTGCGGCCACTACTGCTCCCACTGTTACAACTCAGCTCGACTCGGCCTCACCATCAGCACCTCGTCCTCGGCCCAGTGCTTCCCGGTCGGTGTCGTCAGATCGCTTGTTCCGCTTCGAGAGGATCGCACCTCTCATGCAATCTTCTGCTGCTGCTCCTCGACAGCTGACTTTGCGTCCGGGGCTTGTTGACTTGTGCCCCCCCGCTCTCCACAGTTCTGTTGAAAGCGGAAGTGGAAGGAAGTGCTGTGGTGGTGATCAGGTCTGATCAGATCCCGTCCGGCCCCGGCCTCGCGATCTCGCGTTGCCTGCGACGCCGAGGTCCGTCTGGCCGACCTGGGACTTCCTCCCCTGGCATTCCATGGGGCTCGAGGCAGACTGTAACCGCAGTCGTCCGGAGAAGGAAACGGGAGGACGGGGCCGACGAGGGCAAGCGAATTTCGAGGGGGAGGAGGAGGAGGAGGAGTTGAGCGTGAGGTTGAGTTCGAGTGACCGGGGTCTGGGAGCGAGCTCGGGGACAGGCCAGTTGTGCAAGCTGAGATTCTGCATGGTGCGCACAATCATCCGAAGAACGTAATGCTCAGTGGTGGAGGAGACTCGGTCTAAGCGGGCGAGCCGAAAGAGGCCCCGGTCCTGCGCATCCTGGGCGAGGAGGGAGGGGGGACAGTGGGAGTCCTCTTTGGGCCAACAGTTGTCATGGGCAATTCGGGGAAGGATCGGTCGAAAGAGATCGAAGTGGGGATCGAGGGGGTCGGGAGGTGATGCTATTCCCAGCGGGTGGGATGGGAATAGACTCTCCGTGAGCAGTTCTTCAGCCGCCTAGAAATCGAGAAATCAAATGTGCCGACATTTCACCTTCCTTCCATCAGAATCTCCCCGGTCTGCGATCTCGCGGTGAATCTTCTCCGGGGGGACCTCGATGTCATGATTTCCCAGGGAATAATCGCAGCTGCTGCAGTAAGCCTGGATCTGCCGGGATTTCCATAAGCATCTCTCGACTCCAGATATATAGTGACGATGTGGCCTTATGTTCGCACTGAGGCGATGAGAAAGGATCGCCTCTGAAACCGTCGGCATCCCAACCTCATCTCGGCTCCATTGCTCCCAGTAAGTCAGTCGGTCGATCACAATCTCAGACCATGCACGATCCGTGGACCCCGCTGAGATCGTAATGTGAGTCCCGTCCATCCCCCGCTCTTATCTTCCGCCAAAAAAAGACGACGAATGTGATGAGTAGTCGAGCCCTTCCTCGCTCCTGACTCCACTCCAGCGTGCCCCGTCTCGCAGACGAATTGCACTCCAGGGTACGTGATTGCATAATGTGTTCGGCAATGCAGCTCCTGCTGCTCTACATTGGTGGCATACTTGGCGATCTGAGGTTTGAGAGCGGAGTCAAATGAGTATTCATGACGAGAGTTGCGTTTGGCCGCAAGAAATCTGACATGATTGGCGATGCTTGGGTGACCTGCAGGAGGTCGAGCGGCAAGGAAGGGAGGCAGGAGGGAGACATGGCTCCCAGTAAGGGAAGAGATCTGGCTCCGCTTAGAGATATGGGAAGAGATTTGCCTCAGCTCCGTAGAGAATCGGCTCCGATTAAGGGCAGAGCCATGAACAGGAAAAGCTCGGGCTGGATGGGTACATCGTGGAGAACCCTGCTGCTGGGTCTCATCTTCCTAGTGCTGGCAGCCACCACTCTCATGATCTCTCAAGTATTCGATGGTAAGCGCACGCTATCCCCACTCCCCTGCTCGCTTGGATTTCTCTTCCAGTTCGAAATTCCGGACAGTTTAGACGTGAATCGAGGGGCCTGCAACTCAATGCCTTCCCGACGGTCGATAAAAATCGTTGTTTGTGTGCTGCATTCCTACTTCCTCATTCCTCGTTCGTCTTTAGTCAGTTTCTGTTGAAATTCTCCCAAATTAAAACGAGAGGCAGTTATATGGCTTAGTATTATATGCCCGATTCCACTTCCGGAGCTCAGTCCTTTCGCCCGATAGGATTGGGGAGAAGCGATGCCGAGGAAATGAGCTCAGAGGCCTTATTGGACTCCGAAGCCTCGATTCAAGTCCCAGGCAAGCGGTTTCCCGGCGGGATCGTGGCAGCGGCCTGTTTTTGAGAGAGAGAGAGAGAGAGAGAGAGAGAGAGTGTGTGTCTGTGTCTCTTCTCGTGCGGGCGCGGGGCAAAACGTCCGATCGTCCATCCCGAGAGGATTCCATGCAACGTACTGACGGTGAGGGTGGGGGAGGGGGCACGACGGTGGCGCAGATAAACTCCATCCGGCGCAAATTGTGAAGGGGCTGCCTTTCACGACAAAAATCATGCCGCAGCAGCGCATCCTCGAGGACACGACCAAGGTGCTGCCCCACAGCTCGGGGCTGCTGTCGGTGCGCGACATCGTGGCGTTCCCCGACGAGGTGATGCTGCTGGTGCGCACGGTGTACCGCGCGCCCATCCCGCGCAAGAGCGCGCTCATGTGCATGTTCGGCAAGAAGGAGCGCACGGGCATCTACACCATCGAGTGGAAGGACGAGTCGCGCACGCTGCTGGCTGTGCGCTGCGAGCACCCGACCATGGCGCTGAACCGGTCCAAGGACGCCACGCTAGTGTTCAGCCACAGCAACATCGTCTTGCCCACGGCGGCGCAGTACCTGAGCAACTCGTCCTGGAAGCCGCTGGTGTACGAGACGCTGACGCTGGCCGACAGCGTGCTGCTCTTCGCCAAGGGCCTGGTGGACAGCCAGGGCCGGCCCAACAACCACTCCAAGGAGCTGCACAAGCTGCACTGCAGCTTCGGGCAGTCGGAGCACGGCGGCGCGCTGGTCCAGACGGCCGTCAAAGTGATCGCGCAGGAGGTGGTGCGCTGCGCGCTGCCTCCGCCCAACGTCATCCAGCAGCTCAAGGGCATGCCCGTGAGCCTGTTCGTGCCCAAGATCGGCGCGCTGCGCTCCGTGGCCTACTTCGACATCCCGGCCTCGGTGACGCGCCCGCGCCCGGCCAGCCCCGGCCGCAAGCGCTTCTTCGTGTGCGCCTGCACCATGCTCTGGAACCAGGCGCACTTCCTGACCGAGTGGATCATGTACCACGGCTTCCTGGGCATCGAGAAGTGGTTCCTCTACGACAACAACAGCGACGACAACATCGACGAGGTTCTCGACGGCCTCGCGGCCGACTACAACGTGAGCCGCATCGCCTGGCCCTGGATCAAAACCCAGGAGGCCGGCTTCTCGCACTGCGCCCTGCGGGCCAAGGCCGACTGCGAGTGGGTGCTCTTCGCCGACGTGGACGAGTTCGTGTACCCGACGCTGGACCTGCAGCAGCTGCTGGCGCGCACGAGCCACGCCCGGACGGTGGCCGGCAAGGGCAAGAAGTCGTCGACGGCGGCGCTGAAGAAGGTGGTGCCGACGCTGGAGTCCATGACGCACTATCTCAAGCGGCACAACACGTCCATCGTCCGGAACCTGATCGAGCGGACGCTGCAGCGCGCCTCGCACGAGAAGCGCAAGGTGGGCGAGGTGCGCCTGGTCTGCCACAACTTCGGCCCGTCGCATCTGAAGGCCGCGCCCCAGGACGGCGTCACGGTGGGCTACACCTGCCGCATGAAATGGCCGCAGCGGCACAAGTCCTTCGTGCTGCTGGACGCACTCAGCGACACGCTGCTCAACGTGGTGCACCACTTCCGCCTGGCCGACGGCTACAAGGAGATGGCCGTGCACGCGCGCGTGGCCGTGATCAACCATTACAAGTACCAGGCGTGGGAGGTGTTCAAGGCCAAATTCGTCCGCCGGGTGGCCACGTACGTGGTGGATTGGCGCCAGCAGACCGCGTTGTCCAACGACCGGGCGCCCGGCTTGGGCACCGAGGCCGTGGAGCCGCCGGACTGGCCTTCCCGCTACTGCGAAGAACAGGACCACGGGCTTCGGAATTTCACTTTGAAGTACTTCAGAACGCCCGCGGTCGAGCAGAAAATGCTGTGGCAGAAGCGCGCGCTGCCGGTAGCGCGGGAGTAGGAGCGGACGAAGAACGACGAATGAACCGAGGAGGAAGAATCCACGAGAAATCGAAACTGACTGATCGTTGAATTTGATCATTTTCCCGGACCGTTCCACGGCGTAGAAAGTTCCTGGCAGGTCCACCTGTAAATTACACACACCATCATGATGACGAAGACGACGATATTCTGACACCGGAGTGAAGAAGAAGAAGAAGATGAAGATGAAGGGAGGCAGGCAGGCAGGCAGGGCTTAAGGATTCAGAGCAGCGCATGCTTGACAACTGATGGATTATTTTTTTTTGGTTGTAATATATAAGAGACATCAGTGAGAAGTAGCAGCATCAGCGGCATTCATTCATCATAGCTAGATAGCACCCGCTGGTGGAGAGGCTCGCTTAATTTTCTTGCCTGCTTATCAGTTCCATTGTGGCGGCAGTTCCAGTTAATTGTAGATATGTATGCAAGCCATTGAATCGCAGCAGTTGTCTTTCTTAATAGTAGTAATCACTTTCGACCCTCCCGATTCCAAGTGAAACATTGTCCTTTTGGATTCATGCCCGAATAATTTATCTATACGTGGAACTCCGCCACTGCTCATTCCATCATTCCTCTCGTGAGCTTTTTCCCCAGCTTACTCACTCCATCGGTCGACTTCCGATTTCTTTGTTCTGCTCCTTGCTTCTCTTCTCCTTACAACGTTTGAGTTCAGAACCTCTATGTTGGCTTAAACCGCGTGCCAGAAGCAGCCGCAGCGGCTCAAAGTACCTCCGTACGTGCATGACCGAGCTAGCAGGTGCTCCGAGGTTTGTTCACTTCAATTGGGTCTATGCCAGGCTGTTCGCTTTCCGAACTTCACTTTAATTCAAATCTTGATCCATGAAATTCGTGCACACTGATCGATTCATGGATTTCTTGGCGCGGAGGTGTCGATATTGAAATCATCGTCATTAGATTTTTCAGAATAGTCGTCCTGACTTCTGTTCGACATGCAGCGATTTAGTGGAACAACAAGGGCTCCACTCATTGTCTTTTCAAAAACTGCGGTAGTGAGTGACGATTGAAGATGAGAAATGAGTTAGATTTGATGACAATGTCTGTAGACGCTGCTGTTCTAACTTTGTGTTTGAGAGAGAGAGAGAGAGAGAGAGAGAGAGAGAGAGAGAGAGAGAGAGAGAGAGAGAGAGAGATGGATGGATGTATGGATGAACCCAAGAACTTGTGCCTGGGTCCTACATGCATGCAATGTGCATCAATTGGACAACGGCTGGGTCCCGCAACAACAGAATATTGCATGTAAGCAGCAGGAAGGGAAAGGAGGGGCCCAGCAGCAGGAAGCTAGATCAACTCGACAGACTCCTGCTTTTCGTTTCAATGGCTTGCTTCTGAGGAAAGATGATGAAACAGAGCACTCTCTGACGAGCACTTTGTCCTGCGGTAATTCGATTCTTGCAGGAGATGCTCTCTCTCATCGATTCAGTCCCTCCCTCACTCTTTCTCTATATCACTCGGTCAACATGCATACCTAGATTGGGTCGGATCTTCGTGTATGGGCCCTAGACACTCTACCCTACGTTGAATACCCCGACATGTTCACCCCTCGACGATAACAGTGGTCCTTGATAGTCCACATTCGGACTCTCCTCACCGCTACACAGTGCTTCCTTTCGCACATGAGTGACTGATTGATCACCTAATATTTGATGGAGGCATCTCCAGGTGGACTGCGAGTCTTTTGCCTACAAACAGGACGCGGGCCCTGAGTTTTCTAAATCCTTCGTGTCGCTACATGTCCCGGTCCGTGGTTCTCACTGCCTAACTGGCCCTCCCCACCTCACGATCTTCTGAATGCAGTGCACAGTAGCTTCCATCAGGCAGCTGAAGATTGATCGCTCCCCTACAATTCGACATCAAAATTGCTCCAAGACGCATTCTAATTACAAAAGTCGATGAACACTCGTCGTGCAATTAAGTGGCACTTGAGGTCACCATTGGACAGCCAAATCAATAAGTGAGAAACGGAGTAGTCTAAGAGAGGAGTAGTTGAGGTTTTGGAGTTGGAACTACGGGGTTCAGGACAAGAGATAGTTTGTTTGTTAGCTTCGGTTTTCTTTGTGGACTATGGAGGCAGCAAAGGATGCCGAATCTTTCATCCGCGTAAAGATTGATCGAATCTATGCTTGAACGACGGACATTAAAATCATCTATTTCGCATTGAGGCGCTCAAAGAAGCGAAGAATGGAATACAAGAAAGTTAACTTTAACAATATTGTATTGGCATAGATAGAATAGGCAGGCACAGTAATTTGTTTGTAGCAAAGGAACAGCTCCTTTTGCTTGAAAAGCATTTCGTATGACAGCAACGAGACCAGAGCCCAAGTTTCCTCCATCATGAGGGACTGAAGTCATCATCATCTAAATCATCACATAAAGAGAGGCATATTGGAAGCTTTTTTGGATGCTCTTACCGCACAGGATTGGAAAAATTGGATCCTCCGATGTACAGGACTGCGTGTCCGACTGTGGCACGAGTCAGTGCAAAGGAGGAACGTCAACAGTCAGTCCCACGACCGCTTGCCGTCAGTCAGAGCCATCACTCCCTTCACCCATGGTCCATAGTCCATCCATCGAGCAGTCCCGTCTGGAATCCATTCGCCCTCGCCATCACCCTCGCCCGGGGTTTAGCAAAACCCGACCGCCTTCAGCTTTTCCCCGACAGGGCCCGTGAATTCTACACACTGCACTGCACCCGAGAACTTAGTGTTTAGAAGTCTTACATCACAATGAGTTTCTACGCAATACGGTTGGACACCACTGCAAACAGAATGCCTCTCGATCTTGGGTCCTTGGGATCATACAAACCTTTGTGTTCAAAACTACCGTACTAAAATACGTACGTATCATAGTTCATGTAGCAGTTCGTAGATCGAGTGAAGTCAAGTGGAAGCGTGGAAGCATGGCAGCAGAGTCGAACTGACTGCCGAACCTGGTGTCTACTTAGTCACGACAAATTCATCCACTGCCATGCGTTCGACAAAAACCCTCAGAGACCTTTGGACCGTGAAGGTATATACTCAGGAAAGCCGGGACAGTAATGCAGTGGCCAGATGAAGTAACCTGATGATCCGGTTGCTTCTTCCCATGGTGACCACTGATTATGAACGCAGAGGATCATTTTCCTCTAAGTGAATGCGGCGATGGTACGGTGAAGGGGAGTGGGAGTTTAAACGTTTAAGATTTCAGGATGGATCCCCGTCCTTACTCCTGCGCATCTCAAGATTGCGCCACTGTGAGACTGGCCACCTCGATCTAGGGAAAGGGACGTTGGCTGTTAAGGGTTCACACCAATTTCAAATTCTCGTTATCCGCATGCATCGTGATCATATCAGGTAAGAAGACATAGAGTCGTTCTGGTATCTTCTCTATGACAAGCCTGAAGAAATAAATGCTCCTGTACTGTACGTAACAGTCCCCACTCCATCACGAAAAGTGCGATCCGTAGCCAGAAAAGCAACCGCACTCTCTCCCGCTCTTTCGATCCAAACGAGGCCATTGACATATTTTAACTTTTGGTTAGTTCTCCACACAACTAACAAGCAAGCCGAGTAATAAAGCCAAAAGAATGAGAAGAGTTCATCAAGTCTTGAATGGAAAAAACCAAGGGGTAAGTAGGGGCTCTACCCCAGTAGAATTGACGATGGGAATATTGCATCTAATGTCCGTAATCACCCAACGTGAATGTCTATCGTGAGTTACACCAGCTAAACCCACCAGTATGTATAGCATTAAATACATGAAATTTAAAATTCTATAAGAAAAATTATATCAAATTGATATACATACTTCATTCTATGTTTGCATCTTAAATAACAGTGATTGAAGTATGCAAAAGTTGAAGTGAAGAAATTAGAAGCAACGTGTTTCGTTTCTTCAAGTATTGTATTCTTTGATAAACTTTGTGTCTTACAACCCGGAATTTTTGTCACAAGTTGTCCCGAGTTGAGTGCAAGTCATACTCACTTTACTTCCATAATGCGTATGTATTTATTATTTTGATACACCAATCACATCATCATCAATGGAATTAAGGGTCACTATGATGCGGACTCATGTGCACCCTACACTAATTAAGTTAATCTCACAATCATTTGATCTATGGACCATTTTTCGATTTGTGAGTGTCATCCTTGTGCAGGGGCATGCTAATCTTCTTTGTATGGTCTCATTTCATAGTTGAAAACATAGTTGGCTATAGAAACCAAAGCGGAAACTCACTAATTATGTGAGTTTTAACTCACACTATTATTTTCCCAACCCATGATAATTCAACCAAAATCCAATAGCTTACTTCTTGGAGAAAGTTTTGCAAACTGCATGCTATTGGATACATTTATATGACCTTTTTAGTACTTGCATCGACACATCCCCTAATAAAGAATGTATAGACTATTGAAACTCTCCATCAAGGTAAATAGGAGGTTCTTCGCATATTGGCCAATCGGAGAAGACGAAGTTAAATGTAGGGGAACTCATTGTTGTGATTTAAGGGGCAAACCATCTCCAATTTACCAGAATAAAACCTGGAATTGCCCAACTCCACATCTCTATCAAACCTCTCAATACTAGAGTAATATAGTTCTCCTTACCACACGTATGAATTCCTTTCCCATTACCCAGTTGGTATTTGAGCCGGTTGTGACTTATAGAATTCTTCAGTTGAAGGAATCTGGAAATAAATTTCGACCAAAGCTGCAGCTATTCCTGCAGGATTTGTGGATAAAAGGAGAAAGGAGAGAGGAGATAAGCATCTAACTCAACCAATTCAGATAGAGACCACTAAGCTAACATACTGTGTTCACCATATGACCAGCAGAGAGGCCAACAAGGCAGGATCTGTTGCGTTATCTGCTCTGATAGCAAGTGGACTCCAAATCTGAGTTCTCTGCTGCACAAAGTACTGTAATCGTACCTGCAACATGAGCACGAAGGATCTCCTGTAGACTTGACACGTTCGTGACGAACAGTTCGAGAGGTCGGGATCTGGACGGCAGGTTCTTTTTCTCAGCCAAAGCAAGTCGAATCGGAAAGGGTCCGGCGACCTGGAAAGAGATATAATGAATAATGATTTTAAAAAGAAGATAGAAAATTTTAGGAAAGAACGTCATAGCAATACCACGCTTAGACTTTCTTCGGATGAGTGGCGGGGACAAATTGACAAGGCAATTGCACTAGAACAGTATGGGCGATTGTCACGTTTAATGCAATATGATGAAGTCATCGCTTCCCACAATGCTCAGATCATGGATCTTCATCATTCAAGAAATATTTCCTCCCGCGGAACTACCGTTGCTTCAAATGTACAGCTCATGTCTTAGATGGCGCACTCACAGTTTCGGTCCGAGTACCTCCATAGAAATGTGTCTGCTAAACATAGTCATAGGTCCACGCTTTCTCGAATGGCAGATTGACATACTTTTCAACATGGCTTAATTCTACCTCACCTCGCTTCCGGCTGGATACTGTACGTACTTACTCTGTGCCTTGACTTTTGTGTTCAGTACAGTTATCTGCTTCATACGACGAAGTCGAGAGGTACTTTCTCGCAACTCCCTCATGGTATGACTACAGTTAGTTTGGAAGTTTAATCACTGGAGAATGGATGGTTAAGTCTTGGATAGCTATGGCAACTAATTTGCCTCCCCTTCTCTTCAAGTCAAAGTACTTAACCAAGTTCGACGAAAGTTACTAAACTTTGCTCTCTTACTGCGCTGTGTGTCTAATATTCATCAAGTGTGCGGCAGTGAACATTAGGTAGGACATTCTTGTCTGTGGGCTCGTCTTCCATAGTTTCTCTTGTCTGGAAGCATTAAGTGCCCATCGTGCAGACAAACTTCGCTGCGATAGACCGAGGTCTTCTTAAGTAAGAAGAAGAAGTAATAGTACCGGTACATGATCTTCCAACATTCTTTGCAGTTGCTCTTTCCAGTACTCAAACCGTACCTGCAGCATATCACCGGTGACCATCTGGACACATAGTGCTGCATGTGATAGTTATGGGCGATGCTAGCACGGCAATATAGAAAAGATTTTTCCCACGGCCACTCTGATGGTGGCAGCCTCACGTTCTTCCAGTCTGAAGAAACGGCATCTGATGAATCTGAAGAAATGGCGGCATTGCACGCCTCGTTTCGTCAGTTTCTGATTGTGCTTACCCGGTTTAGGTCGCGAGGCGAACATTGTTCACAGAAGATTTGTTGCTGAACGCCGCGTGAAGCAAGAATGTATCAATGACCAGTTCCTGATCGCAACTCGTTCCTTTGTCGTTGATGCAGAGTGACTGAGTGAGCTAGCGACTGCTCGCCCGTCCATGCAGAACTGACAGGCAGGGCGAGCCGTACTTGGACGTTTTCCAACAAAATCCCTGATGCAATCCCTGATCAGAAGTTGCAGAACGCTGTACAACATTCAAGCCCAACGAACTTCGCCTCGCTCTTCTGCAGGCACGCCTGCCAAAAGCTCTCCCTGACGCCGACCGAGTGCTAGCCTCGTCCAATGTCAAGCACCGTCGAGCCAGAAACAGCGCAAAGCTGGAGGATTGACACGCTCTCGTGCTGAAGCAGCTTTCAACGTGCTATCCGACTGTCTTGCGCAGTGCCAGCCACACCTGGACTCAGCGCGAGTGCGGGCTTCGACGTTGAGGCTTATGACAGCAACCGGAGCCTTCTGAGCGGGTTTCTTGAAACTTCTTCCCCAACGAGTGTCTGTTTGTCGACGGCTGCGCGGGACGCCGGCGTCATATTCAAAATGGACAAACGGTGACCTCTTCTACAAGCTTCATACGAGAACAGGATCCGTATATTGGGGTACCTAGTGATACGTACAGTCATGCGGATCCGAATAATATCAAATAAGGTGACCCGTATAATTTAGATGGTGGAAAATATCCATCGACTAGTTTGAAGCTGGATTCAAGAAGGACCTACAAGATAATGGGCGAAATTTGGAATTTTCCATAAAACCCAGTCCCCTTCCCATAAGTTTTCTTAGGCTAATGAGGACAATTCCTTACTAGTTTCCACCATAAATTCAGAGAAAGTACATAAACTTTCTTAGTGTGCTGCAAAACAGCGGGTTCAGTACTTTGAAATGTTCGATCAGACCAAACTTGCTAGGGCAGTCATGTATCTCAAAAAATGTGATCCTACGAATGTTTCCCCTTTAGCCATCATATTCCAGGTCAGTTTTGAAACGGTTATATACCGCGAGAGGTATTTACTTGATGGGACCTATCAAAACTTACATTATTTAGTTTAAATTTCGATTTACGCCATGGACGGTACACGGCAAACATTTTTAATATCAACCGACGGTGCCGTCATTGCAGCGATCGCGACTCTTGACATTGGACGAGCTCTGTCGCAACATCAGCCTTGTCACTAGGCTGATGAGTTACACTAGACCCTAGTGTAACTCTGTTGTTCATATCAGGCTCTCGTCAAGAATTCCATCTACCTATAGATTGAGTGCACTATGCTCTCTTCGACATGTGAAGTTACTTTAATTTCTACTTCATAAGCAATAATCTTATGGTCTCTTGGCTTCAGTTGTGTACTTCCAGTTTACTTGTAGTTGTATGCAAAGAGCAAATTCTCTCCATCGGGGTTGCTCTAATCCTAATTCATGAACAACGTCAAAGCATCTATCGTCATGTGAAACCAATGCAATGAGGATTGTGAAGTACCTCTCACATAATATGTGTAACGGAACACGTTTTAGACGGCACAACGTCGTGAAACGAAACGAAACTTGATGGTTTTCATCAAGCAGATTAGGTTACTATGGGTGCCATCAAGTCAATAACTTTATCTGGCAACTACATTAAGTAAATAACTCTATCAAGAAACTAGCATGGATTTACAAACCATCATACATGAGTTCCATAAACAAAATTCTGTAAATTTGCTCTTTGGTTGTTGCTAAGAGATAAGTCCAAATCCTTTAGATTCCCTCTACAGACCTTAAAATAGGGCGCCAAAATGAGTCAGTACTCCATTCGAAATATTATAAGATATTCATGTCCATAAGGTTATTGAAAAACAGCAGGGACAATTATAAAATAGCTGCTTGCATCCAAGACAAAATGATAATTTCAAGAATTTTAAAAATCTAATTTGACCAATTCTCTAATATTTCAATACATGAAAAAATTGGGTATCATAATGAAAAGATATATGCCTAGTTTTTATTTATTATATATATATATATATATATATATATATATAGAATGATAAATTCCGATTCGCAATTTGATACTCGATTGGGAAAAAAAAAATCCAAACATTTGAATTTTTATAACACATGTAATATGATCATTAAACGTTTGATCAAGTGAATAAACCATACAAAAAAATTTCACATGTTGAGATTATATCATGAAATCAAACCGTATGCATTTTCATTGAAATTAAGGATTAGGGAAACCCTAAACACTTTCCAGTGACTTATGCCTGAATTTTATATTATAATATCATTCAATTCTAAATTGAAGATAAAAGATTGCAAAATACTGAGCTTATCAAATTATTACAAGAAAGAAGTTAAAAAATTAAGGCTTTTCACATCTATTTCGCTAGAAAAAAAAAATCTTTTACCATAAAATTTAGAAACTCAACATAAACTATCAACTAAATATTTATCAAAATTATAATTATTTAGACTTCATTTTGCCATAGAAAAAAATTTTGTTGATTAACAAAATTGTGTAATACCAATATCGTATAAGAAAAAACATGATAGCAAACCAAGGCCAGGACTGATAGTATTACATAGAAATAAATGATACATGAAATCTATTATTTTTTCCAAATTGTCAAGGTCGGACATGATGAAACTTTAACATCAATCGAAATAAGTGTTCTTAATAAGTATGTATATAAATATATATGAATATGATAAAAAATTTGATAAGATTTTTTTTTTAAATATCTTACATTAAGTGAACTCTGTCAACACACACAGTTTGAATAGTTAGTTACATTGGAATAATCTATTTGAAATCTTTAGAACCCGGTTGATGAAATACTAAATTATATACAATTCAAAACGCGTGTCAGAAATTTAATGTTTATTGTTCATACCTGACACTACACACATGTTTTTTTATTGAATTTAACTGTATTGAAATTTCAAAGCATGTTTATTTTTTCACATGATTAATTTCAAAAGTTACTTGAAACAATGAGTGTATAATATCTATATTTGTTCCAATCTCATCGTATTATACTGCCATGCAGCTCAAATCCAAATTGATGTTGCCAACCTTTCATATAAAATTTATATCATTGTTTTCATCTGTACACTTTTTCAATCTACCGTACTCACTTCTGGGTTCAAATATTTCAAAACCTAGCAACATTCGTTTTATTACGAAAGACGCTTTATTCTCTCACCTTTCAACCGTTATCACATCATTCATCATGACATTGAAAGATGAAACGCTGATACGTGGAGAAGAACCGAGTACTTTGCAAAAACTATGAAAAATTATAACAGTTTTTACATCAACTAGAACATTTAAATTATTTAAACAAACTAGTCTTCATTTGATTCATAGTTACATGTGTTTCTACAACATTGAATAGGATTATTTTTTTAAATTGTAAAGCATTAACCAACGATATCTGCAGAATAATACATGCACATAACGGTAATCTCACTATACATTGATCTACAGTAGAAAGATATATTTAAGTAATATAATACGCATTGGTGCGCTACTTTCACAACTTGTCAAACTTGAAATTACACTTCAAATGAGAATTTTAGATTCACAATGTACTTGAATTAGACAGGTGAATGTACTAGTGAACTTACGGGATTAGGGTTTAGGAATATGGCTCCAAAGCTTCTTCGTCTCGTCATCTATGTTACTTCTTTACATATGAAACGAAGAGGGAGGTGACTATTTCAGACAAGAGATCCACGAACAAACAAGTAAACTATTGTACTTATGACAAGTGATCCACGAACAAACAAAATCAAAGATATAATTTGGACAGCGTCCATAACAACACATTACATTTGTAAACCGAATACTTCAAACCATGGACAATGCTCTTATTACTAGTATACACAAATTGGAAGTCTCAAGTTCATGGAGGGCAATATGAGTGCAGTAACGGAAGATAAATGACGAAGCACTTCAGGAACGTGGCATACAAGAAGTACGAGACGGGAGGCTTAGCACTCATTTCGTAGGCGACAAAAAGATGAAAAGATTCCGTTCTTACCCCAAACCAGGTGTATAATACATTACTTTTAACTAACTTGAACAAATGAAAATTAGCTGAACTAAGGAGAACCACATTTTGGATAAAAAAAAATTTACACCGGCAACCTGGCTGTGCCCATATCTAGCCAACACTTATCTTTGAGACAATGTCTCCTTGCTATTACTCATACATGCATATGCTATGACCGGTTGGTGTATTCTCAGGATGTTGCCATCCTATCCTATACAAGTGATCAATTGACCAAATGAACAACGGCTCATTATTCCTGCAATTTCAGCCGGTTAAAAAGCACGAGAAAATGGCGTTCTGGTACGGAGTATACGAATCCAAGTTCTGCACCATTGGTGTGACCTCCACCCTGGACAGGCAACTAGACAGAAGTTAAGGAACAGATGTCAATCACCAAAGGCAAATAAGGATGCACAGTTGAAGAATCAAATAACTTAAACTCAAACGTACGACAAACAAAACTGACCTTCCCATCGAGAAGGACCAACTCTCCATCTATCCATTGTGGATTCCGGAATCCTGGCTCTGCCAGTCTACCTTGACCCTTGTACCTTCCAACCTGAACGATGTAGAAAAGGAGTGAGGAAAGTAAAGTGATGCATGTGTCTTGTCGCTGTATCATAGACGTGAATACTTGGAAGGGTTGCCAAGAAAACAGGAAATATTGTGCTGTTGCTACCTCAGGTGCAAATATGGCAAATGGGTCTCCGATTTCGACACTAATAGAAATCAGCTACACCAGGAGTAGGTCCATGCGAAGATTTGGTAAGGCATAGAGAGACCCAACATCCACAAGATATATTCTACTTCACAAATAAGTCAAATCAAAGAATAGCCATACCACTCCAAGTTCTTCAGGGTACGCTCCCCGTAGGGACAGTCTGCTTTCTCTACCGATTTTCGCCCGAAAGGTCACCTGTAAATGTACGAAAATTTAAATCAGTGTTGACTTTCTGAACGAAACACAGGTTGAAACTTCCAACCGAAATAGAGATTGAGTCATCAAGTATCATGCCAACACTGGTGTCCATATAGCCATGTATAACGTACAAACTTGCATCTTATTACAGATAGGGTAAGACATATTGTACATGTAGTGAAAACAATAAAATAGTGAACTTCATATATATATAGATTCGATCCTAAAAACTGCAGCTAAATCTGTTCTCAATGTACATGTTCCCAGAAATGTTTCTTGATATTTACGCAAGGCCCAGAGCAGTAGTATCACAGATAGCAGTGACCCGCAATGCTCTTCAAACAAGTTGATGGTAACTCTTATGAACATAAAAAAAAGGTCTATCCTAAGTATAGACGTGCTGGCAACAACTTCAGAACCGGGACGCATATCGCATATTCGTCAGTCAGACTATAAAAAAAAAAAAATGTCACCATCCCAATCCACCCTGGAGTTAAACGTACTGGTCCAACATGATTAACGTTTAGATAGCATACCTGACCAGCCGGCACATTCAAATCGCCTGTAAGCTTCACAGCTTCCACATACTCAAAAAATTCCAACTTATCGAAGTCAGTGCTTCCATCGGCACTTCCATCCTCTTGCCATTGCCCAAATTTTCGCCGTAACTGGACTACCTCCGATGTGTAAGGGCCAAAGGCACCGATATACAAACCTAAAAAGAGGTATTCACACAAGGCGAGAATTTAAGCAGCACGAACATGAGTAAAAGCAACGTCCAGAGTGAGCAGAGTAAACGCTTTAAAAGCCCTGAGATAAAATAACTCTGGCATGACGCTTCGAGGTAGTGTGGGGAGAAACTGTGATCTCTCATGTATCCAATACGCACCGAGAATGCTGAAATCTTTCAGAGATCAAGATAACACAATATATGTCGAACGGAAGGAATATACCCAACACACTCCAATGTAAGTTGAATCACGACGGAATGTACGACTTACCACTTAAGGGGTCTGATCCAGCCTCTGACACATTGATGCGGCGGAAAGAGGTGCTTTTGGACAGGCCACGTCTTCTTTGTGCTTGTGTTACTGCCAATCTAATGATTTCTCCCATCTCTTTAGATACCTGCTGGACTAGAACCTTTTAGTATCCTGTTTGCTTTTTTATGGTGACTCGAGAGTACGAACCAAAATACACTAACAAACTCAAAGGAGAGAAAGCTGCAAAACCATGTACTGATTACACAATTCTTTGTTATGTTGATTTTCAAACAATTTGGGCGTTTTTCCCCCCAAAACACAAAATTCTCTTTTGGACGCGACCATGGCTTTGGAGTAACATGACACACTAAAGATGAATCTGAACCCGCCAATCAATATACACATTCCTGAGAAGCTCTGGGATCGATCGCAAAGATATTGTGAAATTTGAGACAAAATGCGCAAGGATGAAAGATTAATTAAAGACACGAGGGTATAGAAGGTACTAGGGCGAAGAGAGAAAGGTAATACGACCAAAGACGTAAGGTTCACTATAAGGTGAACGAAAAGCCGAAAGAGAGACCTTATTTACTGTCCAAAAGTGGTGAAACCAGTATCTTCTAAAGGAGCAATCAAGAATAAACGGGTGCAGAAAACGAGAAACATTTTTGAAATGAACTACAACCCGATGGAAGCGTTTACGAATTTTACAAAAAGTTTACTAAGTATGACTTCGCAATCTTGAGAGATTTTCACACTTACCTTCACTGGAGCCTTCTCTGAATTCCAAAAAACCTTGGCAACATCGTCTGGCATCAGATCAGCTGATGCCTGAGTCGCAATTGCAGCCATCTTAAAATGAGGTAACGGCTCTTTCGCTGAAGTTGAAGTTGAGGTCGAACCCGAAGGCATACCAACCTCGTCAATGTTAAACAAGAAGGAATCTCTTGTCTTGCGCTCGATTTTTGCTGGTACCCTAACCGGAACTTTCGGAGCCTTCTCATCTACACTATTTTGCAAAACACCTCCAACGACGAGTCTTATTGGAGTTTCTTGCTCCTCTATATTGTTGCTGCCTGCAGGAAATTTCTCATCTTCTGGTGGGTCCAGAGTTGTATCTTCGCTAACAGAATCGGTATCAACGTCCGAATTGGCATCGTCTGTCCCTTCAGCTCTTAACTGCTCCACGATCTTGGGGATGTCTGCCTCTAAACCTTCCGGAGCAATCACCTGAAATACTTTCAGTTTAACATCCGGCATTCTTTCCTTCAGGAAGCTCAAAATGTTGTTCAAACCCTCATCTATAAAGTCAGGATCCTTGGACTTCTCTTCATTGTCATCTGTAATAGAGCCAGGCACATCCCTTGTCTTCAAATCTTTGTTTTTCTCGTTGACGATCAACTCACTTATATCAATCTCCTTCGAAGTGGGACCCAACAGTGTATCGGGGGAGACATTTCCTTCACGCTGTAAATAAACAGCCTGCAAGGAGAATACCACAGACGTACTGGGTGAACTAAAGCCCAGGATAATCTACGCATAAACTCCAAGTTCACGTTGTTACCTCGAGCCCAAGTGAACTTTTGCCTCGACAACATGTGATACATAGAAACACGGAAAAGCAAAAATAGCAAATCAGGTTTACCCTCTGGCACTGGCTTCCAAATTTCTACGTCTGTCTATTAGAGGGATTCCACCACTACTATATCTCCGTGTTAGTAAAATGCAGCTACAGGTTAACATATTGGGTGACGTGACCTCAAGTCAGCCCACGAGACATCGTGCTCTGGACCAGTCAAACCTCGAATGCTAATCAATCCATGGTTTCCACATCACAGATGCAGACGACACACTTCCCTCATGTAACTTAATTGTCCATTACCTTGAGTAAGGATTTTAAGAAGCCCAGCACAAGGTCACCAAGACAATGTTACAGAGACCCACCTGCTGCTTATAGTTATTGTCTCCATCTCTTGTGACAAACACTTCAAATAAGGGAATTCCCGACGCTGCTGTTGCAAGTTGCCTGGCACATGCATCCCATATGAAACATCAACCACATCAAACAGACCTTCACTTTCAGATCAGAGCGAAAAAATCAGCATAACCGTTACATTAGACTAACACTGCAAGCAGACTTCACAAAGAAGAGCGCTATCATGAAGGCTTTATTCAGAAGATTTCCTTACTTCAAAATTTGTCTTCTCTTCAAACTCCATAATAATAATGATAGCGCATGTATCCATACCTGGCACTGTAGCTTTTGGCGAGAAACCTGCCCTGGGCAGCGGAGATGTGGATGATGCGCCCGTAAGGGTCATTCTGAGCTTCTGCTAAGCCAACCCACCAACCTACCTGCAAGAACAGAAAGTACCATGCTACGTGATGACTGATCTCTTCCTCAAAACGGCCCAGTATCATTGTTATTAAGTAGATGAAAAGAATCCACGAATACACCTACTATTTATGAATCAATGACTGCTTCCAGCTTTGGATATTTACCAATCCAGCGCCAGCCTTGTCTCGAAGTCTTGCCGCAGCGTCGTATCGTTCTTCAGCTAGAGCGCTCTGTGAGGAATCACACGAAAACCCTTAAGGCAATAGCCATATAATTTGACGTTTACGTGTAGTAAACGTCAAATTGTGAAACCCAAATACCATACAGGAGAGCGAAGGTAGGAACGATGGTCTAGCACGAAATAGAACCTGATGGGACCCTCACCTTCAGCTCCTTCATAATTTCAGAAACTGTATCACCGGCTGACACAGCTGCAAGTGCTTCTTTAAGCACAGCTGCCTCCTGGAAGTCCTCGTTATCCACAGCTTCTTCAAGTTGGAACTTCAAGAGATGAAAATTGATCAGAGTCAGTAGCAAGCCTCTTATGTTGATTATGTCGTTTTTTCAACAGTTGCGTCTAACAAGTAGTGATTGCATCCAGATTCCGACATGCAAGACCTCGGGGAACACCTTCCCCTGTAATGTAGGGCTCGCGACATGGAAGCGGTAATAAACAGGGCTGATTCAGAAACGATAGCTGTAACATACTCGGTATTATTTACATAATATGTAGCAGATAATGAACTTAACATAGTTAAGCTCATTATCTATTCTAGGAATCCTCAACTTGGAACAACACGTGTCAACTACTGAGGAGTATCTTGTTGAAAAGGGTAGCAAACCAGAAGTTTCCAAAAGATGAAATTTGTAAGAGCTCCTAACCAGACTAGCTTGAACGGTTGCTCTCAAAAAAAACAGATAATACAAAGTGGGCAACTGAAATCCAAAGTCTTAACCTAGCCTCGCTAGGTTTAACGAGGTAAATTACCCGAATAGCAGGTATCATACTCTCATCTCAACATAGTGACGACAAGGACCGAATACTGTTTCATGAGCTTCGATGGACACTATGAAGACATAGTCCATCAGAGTGTTCACATCACACTGCACACTCTTCAAATAAGGGGGCAGGAAAGACGGAAAGCTCTCACTAGATTCATGAAGTGGGAATTGAATCGATTCCATTCCCACTCGATAATGTACAGACTTAAAGGGAGGCTAGAAAAGATGAGTTCTCGATATCTGTAGCTAATTACAGTGCGTACCAATCGATGCTCAGGGCGAGGCTAAATTGGCTTGTTCACAACGACTCATTCACGTCTGCTCGATGCTTCGATTACCTTCAGAACAGATGCCAAGTTGTCACGCTCCTCGGCATCCGTGAAGACTTTCTGCCATCGGTCCCAGTCCGTTTCAGGTTTCTCTTGCTCGCCATGCTTTTCCTTCGTTCTCGAACTTTTGATGTTGTCAAGATAGTCCTGCAACTTCTTACTGGCGTTCGTCATCATGTCTCTAAATGGATCACCAACCTTGGCAGCTGCTGCCTGTATCCGTTTGTGTCGGGCAGGCAAGTCCCAAACTGATGAAGACCCGACATCTTCCCCTTCACCTCTGGATTCATCACCCCCATTAGCCCCAGCATCCAGGCTAGCCCTGATTCCCTGTTGCTTCTTGTAACTCGAATTGCCTGGAACTCCAATTGAAGCTTGACAGCATCCGCCACTTAGTTCTCCGAATCTACTCCCGAACTTCCCTAGGTCCTTTCCGTTCGTTGACCTTTTCGGCCTCCGGATACCGACTGCGGTATGTGGCTTGACGGGTCGATAAGCCGAAAGTTTACAAGCAGAAGTGGGGGTTCCAAAATCCACAAACTGAGGAAGATTTATAGCTACAAAAAAATTTCCGTGATGAATATTACACGAGCGCAGAGACTTGCCACAAGATTGTGAAACGTGGCATTCGTGTAGGGCGGCCCCCCTGTAAGGACTGCCCGCCTGAATGAATGACGTTTTCATACTTCTCGCCCGACAGCTTCGCTGCTCTCTGTCTCCGTCTTTCTTCCTCCCACTCTCTCGCCTCTCTCTTTCTATTACTCTCTAACCTCAAGCCTTCCTCCCTCCCAACAGATGGACCGCGGCTATCCCCAGGCCGTGACCATATCCAACGAGAACGCCCTCACAAACCCCTCGCTATTATCTCCCGAAACCGTGATACAGGCGTCCTCCGGCTGATCAAAACCGACGAAGACGAGGCGACCAAAGACACACAAATGTTAGATTGCACACATTCCACTCGCACGACTCCGCAAGCTCCACAAGAAAAGAGATTTCAGGGCACGCATTGTCACCGAAATTGAGTTCAATTGCCCACCCTTTGTCACTCCAAAACGAGTGGAACGACGAAAAGCGAGCAAGCAGCCAGCCAAGCCAGCACACACCTGGGTAAAATCCGATCGACCGAACAAACAAACGACGGAAGAAAGAAAGAATAACGGAGACTAGCACCTCGAAAGTGTCGACTCCTCCCTCCCCTTCCCTCGCGTCCTTCGCCTCGTCTCACCTCATCCACAGTGGTTCCTCGTTCTCTCCTCTTGTACAATGTCTACTGTCTGCCTGTCGAAAATGCGTTCCCAGTTCTCCCTCTGCCTCCCTTCCCTTACCTTTCCTTGCCTGGCCTGCCCTGCTCTGCTAAGAGAAGAAAGAGCTACTACGTGATGACATGTCTCAGCTTTACGAGTTACAAGAAGGAAAGCACGGCGAGGGGCGCAGCGGCCAAAACTTGGCCGAATTATTGGATGGTATGGTATCCTCGACCCAAGGCTCTCGACGTGGCCCTCATCCACTAGTCCCTAGCCTCTGCGGAGTTCGAACCTGCGCGGTGAGGCTCCAGGCTCGAATTCTCCTCGGCTCAGGGTTCGAACCGCGAACATTGAAGAGTACGTGGCGGTCATCCGTCTTCCCGGGTTGCTGCAGATGCTATCCTACGGTTTCTGTCAATCTTGGCGTTAGATATTAGTCCCTTCCGCCCGCAAGGTCGTGGTTCGCTCCTCGCCTAGGCGACGACATGGTCGACGACGAAGGATGGCCGGAACTATGTTTGCTCTCATCGCCCTCTCGTGTCAGTCGATGATCTGGTATTCTCTCCGATAAGATCACTTCCTCAAAGGTCATTGCACCAACTATCGTCATTCATCGTAGTTTACTCCTTCCTTGGTGTTTTCATCCAGGGATGTTATACATTTCCCGGAATGTACCGCTGAATGAAATTTACCACTTCAACATGACTGTCATGAAGTATCTGGTTGGATGAATATGTATGTTGATTTCCTTGACAGTGTACTGTTGCGATATGTGCCCCAGATACGCATTCTGACATTCATCGATAAATATGTCGAATTATAAAATTTGAAAGGTTCCATCTTCGGTTTGTATGACTTACATGTATTTCACTTCAGATTTATTTCAACTTTGACCAAAACTTAGCTTTCTGTAGTTGAACCGAAGCACCACATACCTCAACCTATCAATGCAATTACTCTCACATTTAAAGAAAACATCGCTTCAACTCTGTAATGTTTTACCAATAGAATCTTCAACAGCAAGACTATGAACAAGGTCTAATACTGATGACAGGTTATATAATCGTGCAATTCTACTTGCATACACAACTTATTACTTGTAGGCAATACTCAAAGCTTTCGTTTTTTTAAATAGTAGAAAATCATCCATATTCCATCAGTAGTGTTGAATGCTTCACTCCTTTTCTTTTTGCTCCACTTTATTCTAGACTAAATATTTTGTTATTTTTTTATACAAATTCTCGATGGTTACTTGATTTGTTCACTTTATTCTAGACTAAATATTTTGCTATTTTTTTATACAAATTCTCTATGGTTATGTGATTTGTTCGCTCCTGACTTGCAATTTCTACTGATTGACCTCTATTACCATATCTTTTCATTTTTTTTTACAATTTGTATGAACAAACTTAAGTCCTATTCTAATCGCAAAGTGAAAAATGTATTATTCACAACTACTTTCCCTCTACTGCATAACAAGGAATTGACCACGGTGAAAATTAATAAAAAAACATAATAAACATTAAAGTAAACGATTATTATGTTCAAACAACACACAAGGATGGATCAAGACTTTGTATCCAAAAAAAACTTTTATTTATTTAGATTACAACATCCTACATTATGATATCAATATTACAAAGAAATAAGATGCAAAACTTGGACAGTTATATGATGATATTATAGTATGAAATTTATAAATGAAAGTCTTTGCACATGGATTTGACTATAAAATAAAACTTTCTTTAATTTGGACAGTTTTATAAAAACATATTATTTGTTAACAAGTGAAATACATAATATCATTAGCATTGTTCTTATAAGTCATGTACGAATAGGGTTAACCTTCTGATTAAAGTTCGTATGAGTTGTCACAATTTGAAAATCATGAGTTGATTCAAAAGAATATATGATTCCAAAAATATGTACAATATGTTATTGTTTCAAGATAGAAGAAAGCAAGATCACTTTTTGAAATAAATGTCATATTTTCAAATAAGCTTTAAGATTTAGTATTGAAAATAAATATTCACATTGTTCAATTGATGTAACTATTTTTCATAATGTTTCAATATCAATTTTTTTCTTGATGACTAGTGTAATAATCATTTAAGTATTGAATGTTGAGTTAATTGTAAAGAACAAATAGAATCAATTATGTGAATTTTTTGATAATTCTATTCTACATTATTCTATAAATATCAATAATGATTTTTATACACATGTATAAAACAATACTTTCATATGTCAAACATGGCTATTATGTATTACATATTTTTTCATGAATATGTTATATTTAAAAAACGTTACCTCTTATATCACAACCATCAATTTTATCGCCAAATTTTAATTGTTGAATAGTGTATGCAAGATGTTAAATTGAAATTTTTTGAAAAGATTATATTTCTATTGTTAAATTTATCAAAATGTGAGCTAAATATCCATCAATCAGCACATGATGAATTCTGCTCGTAATTTGAGAAGATTACTTGACATAATTTCTATAAAACGCAATAGACTTGTTGGAATCCAAAATAATTTATTTTACCTTAAGTTATGTCATTCATTTTATGAAGTTCAATGTCATTCATATTCCAATATGAGTTCTTATAAATTGATAGGTATTGAATTTATTGGATCAAATTATTTTGACGATGTTTGAATGTATCAATGAAAATCTAAATGCAATTCAAAAGAAAATTCACGCCGATCGCTTTGATGTTGATATACAAGAGAATTTTGTCATTACTGAATCCAAAGTTGCAAATCTATGTCTCCAAGGTCATGATCCACGACACTTTTTAGATTCTTATAATTGTTCGGCATCTTTCATCACAAGTTCACGCTAGAGGTGGGACAATTCAAGTCTTCTATCATCAAAAAATAAATTATGCACAAATATTTTCTACAGCTTAGTAAAATTCTCATACAAGCTTCATCTTGGGTCAGATGTATAAAATATTGCCCATCCTAGCTAGATGGACCTATTGTGTTAAGTCAAAATCAATAGTTTCGCGCACTAGGATTTTGGTTCTGATTGGAAACCATGCAAAGAGCTTGTTATGTAGTTTTGATATTTACTAAAAATAGCGTCGAGCCTAGGGTTTCAGGTCACGTAGGGTATAGCTACGAAGACGACTCGAAGAACGTCAGTTCTTCGAGTCGAGCCTAACGCGTTGGGAGTAGTGGTAGTGAGCGTCGACCTGGAATCTTCGAGTGTGGAGTGGGTTTGGCTTGACTTTGCTTGTGACGGTGACGGTTTGCTGCCAGTAGGGTAATCAGACCGACGGGTTTCCAGTGGGGAAATCCCGTACTTTTCACTCTAAAAACTCACTTTCTTTGAAATCGTTACTGTTGACGGCTTTTTGTTTTAGTTTTGGTGTTTTTCTCAAACCTGCGAATTAATTTAGTCGAGGCAGTTCGGAGTGATTTTGGGCAATAGGCACCACCGAAGGAGAAGTTTGGTTGATTTTCACAATCAGAGTTTGAGTCGTGTGATATCTCAGTTTTTTTGTTTTTTCAGAAATAGAACAGTAGGATGGGAAATTGAGATCGTTTTTAACCTTGTAGCGTAGAAGTAGTTAGGTTAGAATAGAATAGCGTGTTAGGGTAAATGACGAGTAGTAGCAGTACTCGGGAGGTACCCTCACCGCGCGACGTCGTTCCGGAGTGCGGCGAGGTCCGAGTCCAGAGGGACAGGTCGGTACGACTGAGGATTTCCTTTCTCTGAGTACCTAGGCAAGACCTCAGAAGAAGGTACTCGACATGCACGAATGTAATGACAGACAAATACAAAAATGGAGCATAATGGTAAAGATCCGATCCCACGAGGACAAAAACAACCACAAAAGTCACGATTTGTCATAGATTAGCATTCTATTAAGGAGTTTTACTTCTTAGGCCAATGCCACTCCCAGGATACACTACTCAGCTAGAGCCGAAGACCCGCAGAGTATCGCATAACCACACTCACAGCTTGAAACTTTTCCAATTAACGCCGGTGGGAATCGCTTGTGATCCCACGCTCATATTTCAGGGGGAAAACTTCCCAGCATTGCATACATCTCGCCACACTGATCCCAGCTTCCAACTTGCTTAAATCCCAAGGAGCACGCAGCTACTCAGAACATTCAAACGGGATACTCACAACTCCTGATACGGTAGCTTCAACAAACAAGAGCACACTGTACTCAATGCCCGGATCACACACCAGCGCACAAGCACAATGGACACAGATTGACAGTCAAGACAAGCCAAATGACAGAAAAGCCTCCAAGGAAAGAGCCTTGGGTCTCTTTAATCACAATGGAAACTCTGGAATCTCAACCGCCTGAGGCGAATCGGTCTCAGGAGATGTGCCGTCCTACGTAACGGTTATGGTGTCGTCTGAACTACTCTCTGCTCCTAACCTACGCAAAACGTTTAGAATCTCTAACTCTACAGTCTGGCGCGCCTCGTTCAATCCAGATGAAAAAGAATTAACTAACTCTACTACTTGTTTGTGTCATACGGATCCGCTGGCCTTATCGCTTAGCAACCGATGCTCTAACGCATCTAACTTCAACCACTTCACCGTTTGCAATCCCCACAGTGAAACATCGCGCAAACACTTCTCAACTCGCAATCTCAACTCATCGGTCGTCTCGTCCCGTAGTTGACGGTAGGCCTCCTCTGCCTTCTCCATTTTCCTTTGCGACTCCTCTGATCTCATGTACGCCTTCCCTAACTGCTCCCGCAACTGTTGACATTCCGATTTGACCTGTAATCTAGATTCGATCTCCAAAGATCTGGCCAATTCACGATCTGCCAATTTCTTTACCCATTCCGTTAATTCACACTCGTGTTCCTGGAGTACCTCCGCCAGACTTGCTGTAAGCTCCTCCGCACGTTGGAATTCCTTATCGCGATCCTCTGTGATCTCCCCGATTTCACTCCAAAGTTCACCCTCCGCTGAGGAGGATCCTGTGGCCTTGGAGGAGGTAGCAGCAAAAGCCGTTGAAGATGTAGAAGCAGCAGAGAGTGAACCTCAGAAGGTGGCGTCGCCCCGGACCTCCATCGGAACGGTCATATTAGAAACGGATGAGGCACAGTCACCGGACCTCAGTGCTGTGGATGTTCTATGTATGCAAGTATTACCGTTGCTCCAGTATCTCGATCGGAAGCGGGAGAAATATGCGAAAGGAAGCACCATCAAATCTTATGTGGAGGTAGTAT